TAGTAGCAGTGGTAGTGCGGTCTCACGTAAAAAAAAGCACGATATGAATGTGAGGGATGCTGTAGTGGAGGCCGCTGCAAATTTTGACCATCTTTAACGTGCACTGACAACGCGCAGTACACAGGCATCTACTTTTTCACCTCAATTTAGATGTGACCGCCAAGGCCACAATCGAACGCACGGCATTAGGATCAGTAGAGGAGCACCCTATAGCGAATGGCCCACCGAGGCGAACGCAAAACGAGGGCCGATTAGTGAATAGCAACTCAAAGCTACCCCCCCCCCCCCTAAACCAAAAATAATAAGAAGCTGACATTCCGCTTGCATTTTTTATTATTTTTCGCAGCTTTCACTCAATATACTGATTTTTAAAGGGCAGTGCAAAGACACAGGGAAAAGAAAGACATAGAGATAAAGAGCGCTGTCTTTCTTTTCCCTTTGTCTTTGCACTTCCCTTTCCAAATGATATGAAGCAACTAGCCCAAACCAAAGTACTCCTCATTCATGCTACACAACAGAATACATAAATTGTACATGCCAAGTATAGTAACTGTCACATGCAACGCTCTTAATGAGGTACGGCTTAAAATGCAGGATATAATCAGGAAGCGGGACATTTTTCGTCTGTTTTTCTACATATAGCTAGCATTTAACAAAGTTCTGATGAAGAGCTTATGGTATGCAATGTCAGCCCACCAATGTCAACATAAAGGAGCGACATAAAGACAGGACCATTCCTTGCTGTATGTCGCTCCCTAGATCTTGGGGCGCACACCCGCGAGAAAGGCAAGTGGCATTCTTAAAAATTGAGCGTTTTTCCACGACATGAACTTTGCAAATCTTAACAGGAATAATCTGGAGTGCCCAGTGCACCATTACGCTTGTTAGCTCGAAATGCCCCAACCTAGTAAGGGGTCCTTAAAGGAGTTCACCAATAGGGGAGAAATTGGTCGAACGCAATTAGACCTATCATCTCTCTCTTCTGGGGTATCGGTGGCCTGGTTATTTGCTCCTGCACTGGCCTTCCCAGCCACAACGAAACAAAATAGACCCAGGAGAGTTTCAATTGAATGGTGGACACTTGACGCACAGTGCTAGACAATAAAACAAAAGACCACATACTGCAAATTGTACAGGAAATGCATGCGTATGTTCAATCATTAATACCTTCCTGCTATCTTGAACAGTATCATTTTTTTTTTTGCTTCTTCCTGTAGATACATTATTGATATGTGGGGTTTAACGACCTAAAACCACTATACCATTATGAGAGACGCCGTAGTGGAGGGCTTCAGAAATTTCGACCATCTGGGGCTCCTTAACGTGCACCCAAATCTGAGCACACGGGCCTACAACATTTCCGCCTCCATCGGAAATGCAGCCGCCTCAGCCGGGATTCGATCCCGCGACCTGCGGGTCAGCAGCCAAGTACCTTAGCCACTAGACCACCGGGGAGGGTGTGTGCCGTAGATACAAGTCCGCGACGTTGTTGTTTTGGGTTATTTCAATTTTTGCAGAAATATGGCCCCATATCTGCATGTAATCTGCAAATGTCGCTGAAAGACGATAGTCTTGCGCATGGAGAGAGCGAACAATTTATTTGATGTTCTGCGCAAGAAATCCGAGAATGGTATTTTGGAGGCGCTGCGTTAGAGTGCCTCGAACGTGCAGCGGAGGTGAATGAGCGCATCAAGTCACGTCACACGAAGCACACAACTCTGAAACGGGTGTGCGTGCCCGTCTCGGAGGTGATAAGGTGTAGAACGCAAGGCGACGGGTAGGTGCCACCGCGTCTTAGCAAAGTGTTGGAAACACTCACCTTTTCATGCAAGCGTTGCATGGTAAGCGCAGCGTGATAAGCGCTACGGTCCTGAAAATTACTTATGTATGCCTTTTCTTCTGTGCAGGTTGAATGCGGCAATATGCACATGCAGAATACATATGTGTCGTTACGGTGCCCCAGACTTGTGCAATAATTGCTTATCAATTGAGAATTGCCTAAGTATGAACGCTAAACCTTGAGCAACACTGGTGGGCGCTGCGGATGTGGTCGACCTTTTCAAGTACCCGGTGCAGTTAAGAGTGGACAAACAGACAAATGTACAGACAGACAGACCAAAATTTTTTTAGTCGAAGGTCCCCAAGGAAGACTATCGAATTTATTGTGCTATAATTATGATTTTGAAGGCCTAAAACAGTGTTTTACCTGCCCGTCTTTGGCACCTAAAACACACTTTTTTAGTGCCCAAAAATCCGGCCTCTATTAATGAGTATACTCCTTTAAAGCCCACATACCCTACAATGCCAATGATTTTATCAGAATTTGCGCAACTTGTTGGTAGTGTTTCTTTTCATCTTGTCAACACTTCTAAAGAAAACAATCGTTTCCCTGCTTCAAGAGTTTGTGCAGTCTTGCTGTAATTCGCCAGTCCTGGCATCAAACTTATGTAGGCTCTTCACACAACGGCTCCTCCCACTCGCCATCAGTAGAGACAATTTTCAGTGATTTAGCTTCACTTAACAGCTCCTTTGCATAAAAGAAATACTGTAATGTTTCTTTTCTTTTGTTCTCTCTCTCCCAACATAAACGAACGGCTTCAATCGTGTGAATAAAGCAATCAGGTCGAGCATCATCCACCACTTCCTTGGGTCATTGCATTCATAAAAAAAAAGGGGGGCCTACAAATTTTGTACAGCAATAAACGTTTATATACCACAGTAAGGGACCTGAACTTCTCTCCTTGGACTTTAATAAAGGAATGCAAGTTTGGGTATCAGAGAGTACTGTTTCGAATTACAACTAAACGATGAAGCATCTCCGCACAACTAGGATATGATAATGGTCACAACATGAAGCTTTCGACTTGAATCATTGTCATCTTCACTTAAAGAGCATAAGGGCCAAGTAATTTCGATTATTATTACTCGATGGGTAGGAAGAGTGTATTGCCTTTGCAGATACCACATTGATTAAAACTATGCAACAATCTCCCTAAATCGATACTTGGGCTCGCAAGTTGAGTCCCTGTATACAATGTGTCATATGCAGGGGCTCCAACTCATGGAGTAACTCCTGTCACCTAACACAGAATATGCTCACTCAGGAGAAGGAAGGAATGATATATCTAATATCACGTATGTTGCAAAAAAAGGGACAGTATTCGACATACTCGGCAGGCCACAAATAATTCATAATTTGGCAAAATACCCAAGAGCTGCATTTGCAAGCCCAAAAGTGACAATCTGCCCTTCCCCTAGCAGAAAAGCCATGGATTGACTCGATCTCAGAGGCCTTCGCTCGGGCAATACCAGTTGTCCTGGCCCCTATTAAAACAGCAGATGGCAGCATAAAAAAATATTATAAGGTGGATTGTTCTTGGCAAGCTGAGATTGTCAAGGTTTTTGACAGGAGACAATGTTACATTTCAATGTTTCAGGCAATGCTCAAGGTATGCCCACTAAAAAGTTTTTTCAAAGCACAACCAGATCTAGTTACACAAAGCATTTCACTATGGCCAGAAAATTTTAGCCACAATTGTACTTCAACAGTAAAAAACCGTGAATATTTTCATAGACAAATACCAGTTTCTCGGAACCCCCACAGTGCTACCAACGCAGCTGCGCAGTGCCATCACAGCAATCAGCTTTGCTGCGGCACACAACAGGCCAGAGTAACGTTTAATTACACTACAGCTCTTCCACTTCATGGCAACCAACAGACCAACAAACTGCACACCTGCAGCTGCATCTTCATGAGCAGCTGCAAACAAGAATTATTTTCTGACCTCACATTATACAGCTGCTGGTCACAGAGCTTACACTTCTGCATGTTGAGCAAATTACCGAGATAGATGTTCCAGTACTAGCTGCTTCAGCATAGCTTAACTTTTTTATGACGTGAAATACACAGGCCACACAAAGTTTGCTTTCATTCACCGAGGTCAGATGAGAAGACAAATTTTGTGGACAACACTTGGCTAAATTGCAGAGACAATTACATCAAAGGATTCTGAAACACACTTGAAGCGGCCAAGCTAATAACAATGTTACCATTACTGTGCACCCAGCAACAATCTGGGCTTCAATACGAAGTGAACAAAAACCCAAAAAAGCAGGTGATGATTTCAAGTTTAAAGAAAGTAAGAACCTGCACTTAATTTAATGAAATTCATATGATAAAATTAACATGCCGAAGAAAATGCTCGCACATGAAAATTTCAACTAGATGGACTTTTTTAATCATTCACAACAACTGAAAAGGCAGACGTGTTCACATATGCAAACACAGCATGCTTAGGTGGTCGCTTAAAACTTCACGAGTTTTAAGATGCCCCGAAAACCCCAAATACCTTTACCAAGACAACAGGGGCTATGACAAAAAGAAATTTACTTTGCATTGCATAAAAAAGGAATCAAATATAAGCGTTCCACAAATTATATCTAATATTAAATACATTACTGTATCGAAGAATCGTTCCAACAAACACAACAGTAGCGATTTTTATTTTTTGAATTTGTGTAATGACAAAGAATATTCGGACGAAAGCATTGCACATGTGTGCTGGCACGAAATAAACAATATACTGAAACTAGCGGTTTCAGGAGTAAACTATGTATGCATACGTACCGGAAAAACAAACTGGAAAGTCCATTTCAAACGACGTGAATTTGCCTGCTAAATGTATTAAGGAAACGTATATGCGATACGTGCCGGTCTACAAATATGTGAGTCGACAAATCATTATCCGCGGACAGATAATTACAATTATCAATCCGAGCGAAACAACAGTTTTCCGAAGCGCCAAAGAGCACAAGTGCGGCCGGTTGAGCACAGAAAATACACCGCAGCCCGACGACGGAGACGTTGAGGCTAGTGCAAAATTCAAAGTTCTTATCAAACACCAAGGCAAAACATTTACGCGGGCAACAAATGATTACAAGTGGTCCAGCACTCCTTTAGGGCGAGCACGAAGGCGCAATTTGCGCATGCCGCCGCTCACCTGTCACAAGGTTGTCATTATCCGAGCACACTCCATCAGTGTTGGTGAGATCGCTGCCGGTTGAGGAGGTTAGTTCGTGAAAACCGGAATCCCCGTTGCACATGTCTGAATTTGCATCGCTTGACGATGTTACCTCTGCAAGCGCAAGACGTTTAAAAAATTATTAATAAATGCAACAGCGATTGTCTACCCCCGCCCCCCCGTGCGACACTTGCGCGCGCGCTAGCACGATTACGCGCAAGTACCGTTATGCCTCTGGAATCAACCGCAGAAAAAAAATAGAGCGCCACTTTCCGGGCGCCGAGAAACTAAAAACAAAAAAGAAGAAAAATTAAGGCGAGAAAAAAAATTTAATGCGGTAAAGCGAATCGACTTGTAAGTAAAACACCACGGGTCTGACCAATTTACTGTCATCAGCTGATGAAACCACGGCGGCGAACGATGTAAACAAACCAACGTGACAGTACACCAAAAATTGTGGCTTCTATCACGCCAAGAGCGAAAAAAATTGAGGTAAGACGAAAAAATTCGACCCAACTAAGGGTTAATTCACACTACCGAGCTCAAGCGCCCGGCGGCGGCCGCAAGCAGGCAGTCTTAGCACGACCGCGATCGGCCATTCCTCTCCGGCCAGGAGGGCAGCATTCGGTTAGGCCTAGCGCTCCCAGCTCGTCCAATGAGCGTATGCCAAGCGGGCAAGGCACTGGTGCGCTTGAGCGCAGCCCTCGAAGCCTATCGGGACAAGGAAGCGCTGGTTTTGAAGGGTCAATCTTACCGTTTGGTGCGTCCGGCGGAAACCTCTGCCGCTTAAACTCTTTCGGGGGCATTACTACGTCGTTTGGTATACTCAATCCGAGCAAATTGCTGTCGTTTTCCAGCCTAGGACGCTTGTAAGCAGGGGAATCACACAATGCCTCTCGACGGTCCGCCATGCTTGCGAGCGTGGTGACTGCGCACGCACCGATTCTCGACTACGTCGCAATGACGTCAGGGGGCGCATGGCGCCGCCGGGCGCGCCAAGAGCGCGCGCGAGTTCTTTGCGCCTCCCCGCGCTTTTTTTTTTTTTTTTTGCGGCATTAACTTTGTTTTTATTATTGCTTAGTTTCAATACGGTCGTTCTCTTATACTTGAAAATCAGTCCTATAAAGACAGACTTTCGCACGGCGCACAAAATATTTCTGCCTGCTTACCTTCTCCAATACCGTGAGACGGAAGGCGAACTATTTATTCCCAAATTATCAGATGCTGCCGGATCAGGTGGGAAAAAAAAATCTCAAATAGTTTACTTTCGCAAAATTGTTACTGAGCTGTCGAGGCGAGACGATAACAATACAGGATATTTGAAAGCAACAAAGTAACGCCATGCTTTGACAGGCTTTAATAGCAAAACATACAGAACTGAGTGATGTAGACTAATATCATCACTACAAGGCAACGGGTTTGCTTGGGGAACTCTGGTTGTCAGTGATTATTTTAAATGTAGCACACTTATTGAGGTATCAACAATAAATCCCATAAAAACACGTGATTAAATGTAATGTGCTGTAATGGCCAACTCAACTCTACCTCCCAGCCTATTAATCAACTCAGTGAAAAACAGTAATCATATTTGTCACAAATGCCAATGGGGGAGACATTTCTCTCTTTCTGGCACTTTGTATCATTTCTCTCTCTCTGGCACTTTGTATCGAAGTGAGTAAGATTACAAATGAAACAACATTAGCATCGTCAACAAAAGCAACACTGTAAGATAATGTCAAGGTACTTCATAAAAAAAAGAAGACTATGCATTTTCAGTGATTTTAATTCCATCACCTGCAATTGCATTTCATTGGGTCCAAACAGAAGCAGTGATCATTGAAATAAGTACTCACACAGGAATAAACTAAATGAATTGCAGTAATAAAAAAAATTACATGCAGTACAGTTACAAGTAAGATGAGACCATCAGAACCATAATTTATTTAGATTTCATGCAAAAGCCATGTATTAACGAGCCGTACACCACCAACAGCAAAAAAAGGAGCAAGACAAGAGTGTAGTGTACACAATCTAAATAGAATCATTCATTATTGCAAGTACAATTAACCATGCTGCTACTCTTAGAAGAATTACAAAATCTTCACACTTCCATAGAGAGCAAAGCTTCAAACATGACTAGCAAGAAGAGGAAAATAGAAAGAAAAGAACGGCAGGGAGGTTAACCAGTCTATAGGCAGCCGGTTTGCCACCCTGCGTATGGGAGGAGATTCCAAAGACACTAAGGAGAAGGAAAGAACAGCCAGGACCACGAAGGCTTTGCAGCACTAACATGCTCCTTCCTGCAATTTCAGCAGAATGAACATGCACAATGACACTCTGAAAAAAAAAAAAAAAAAAACTGTGTACAATCAGCTCACCTTCACAAAACAAAGTGAGCTAAAGATGTCTTTTTTTTTTCTTTTTGAGATAGTTGTTTTGCAGTGTACACCGCTTCCATTTAAGATTTGTACAGATTTGGCACAATACTAAAGTACACCACTCTGCAAGAAAGAAAAGGGAAAAAAAATGCTTGGTAAGTATAGGGCCACTCATGACTACACAAAAAAAGGTTCACGTTATGAACCACTCCTTTTAAGGTGTGCCCAGTTAAGACAAATTTTCGGACATCAACAAGAAGCGAATATTGAGTTCATTTCATGCTTATCCAACAAGAAAAATAACACCCACTCACAGAAACTGTAAAACTTCTGAACCCTTCAGTGACATTTGCACAGACATATGAACAAGAGTCTCAAATACACCGAACCATTGTTTCTTTTATGGGGGGAGGGGGGGGGGGGAGGGCTTTTTGCATGTGAAGGCAATGTGAAGTTTTTGGGTAATTTAGGTGAGATGTCTACTTCTCGTAAAAGTGCAAATGTTTGCACAATGCAATCAAGAAAAAGTTAATTGAACACAAGCTGGACAAAACAATACTTGTAACAAGAAAATCCAGAAAGTTCCGATATTTCTTTTTTTTTTTCATTTTGGGTTCAATGTTGAGTAAGCTTATATATTGCAGACTTTAGGTTGCCCTTGAAACAAAAGATTCAGCACTTAGCAGCAGGCTGCTGCTGAGACAAACCTCTGATTACGTGAAAAGACTTCCATAGCCACTCCGAGTTTGTATAAATGGGAGTCTACCGAAGAAATGAACCACTCTAGACTTTTTTAACATTATTCAAAGCAATTACTTGAAAACCCATCTTGAAGAATACAAGTGAAATATGAACATCAAATAGCATGAGAAAGAAGGTCAGGAAACATACATGGTACACTATCATAAATGATGCAACTGTAAACAAGTCAACTTTAAATGAAAAGGTGCAGATCAGGGAGATCTCATGAGAACACAAAACTTTCGTTCAATACAGCCAATACCCACACTAGTTTAACTAGCAGTACAAACAAAATGAATTGGTGAAAACCAAACATTTCCCAGCAATTTATAGAAAGATGGCATAAAGAACACTACTCTTGTCTGCTACAAAGAAAGAGATACATTCGAACCTTGTGCGTGTTTGTGTCTAGTTTAAAATCCCTGTTTCATTTATTCATGATAATATAACCTTAAAGTACATGTCTTCGCCTGTGAGAAAAAAGCTTATTTTAACTTTTTAATGTAATGTATAAAGACATTTCAACAAGAGAATTTGCCTGGTCAGTTGTTGACCCCTTAAGACCAATACCCTTATCAAAATGTTAGCCCCGAGAAGCTGGAGTGGCGCCGCCTGGTGGTAGCCATGCATGACGTCGCGGCACCGACTCTTCGAATTTTGCTGTGGCGCTTGTATACATAATGCAAGCTCGCTTTCGATCGCTGTTGCCCTGCCAGCGTTAAATTTTTGTTTGTCTCCCACTTAAAATAAATGACGGAAGCAGCATCGATGATGTGGACGGAGGAACAAAAGTGGACGGAGGAATGACCATGATGTTAACTCAGTGATAGGGCATTGGACGCGTAATTTGAAGGTCACAGGTTCGGATCCTGTCGGTGGCAAGTTATATTTTTGTCCGCTTTTCTTTCTTCCTATATAAATTACAATTACTTTTAATAACATCCCTATACTTTCCTTGGCATCATTGTGGGTTAGTTCTCATTAATATATGCGTAGTAGTGCTCCAAGATGCCAAATATAGAAAATGAGCTTTTTTAGTAAATGCACATTTCAAAAGCTGCTGGCATACTTTGAAGTACAGCCGCGACCACGTCTGTGTAGAGCACGCGAGCAGCCGGTTTTTACTCTGCGTGGCGAAACCTTGGGGCAGTATCGGGCTTTGAGGTTTTCAGTCTGACAACTAGACCACGCATGCTTCTGATGCACCACTTCAGAGCCCAAAACTGCCTCAAGGTTTCACTCCGCAAAGCTAAAACCGGCTGTCCGCACGCTCTACACAAACGTGGTTGCGGCTCTACAGTAATGCGTAAGAAAAGCAGGCAACTGTAAGATAATAAATAGGTATGTTAACCACTACGTTCCAATTTCCTATGCACTACTGTAATGCTAACATTACCATCCTTGTTTGGTTGCAACGAGTGAGGAGCCTTTATATCGAGACGACTGCAGCAATGCTTGCAGTACACCATTAAAGAATGCTTTCATTGAGCCATAATGCACTTATTTGCCATATTTTGTGTATGCTTCTAATATTTAGAAATATTGAATAAAAATGTATTATTATTAAATAACTGTTCAAAATTTATCCTAAATGCCATACTATGCATACTTTCGGGTTGAGAAACCAACATGTAGTTTGCCACACTTTGCAACCTCTTATATAACTGACTCTTGGCTCAGCCATACAAATATCAAGCTTTAATTGAGCAAAAGCTATTTGCAAAAGCCCCAATGCTATTTACCGCGTGCTTACAGGAAATTATCAGAGGCCTAGAATGGGAAAAGTTAGGGATAAGAGTTAATGGAGAGTACCTTAGTAACCTGCGCTTTGCCGATGACATTGCATTGCTAAGTAACTCAGGGGACGAATTGCTACTCATGATTACGGAGTTAGACAAGGAGAGGAGAAAGGTGAGTCTTAAAATTAATCTGCAGAAAACGAAAGTAATGTACAACAACCTCGGAAGGGAGCAGCGCTTCGAGATAGGTAATAGTGCACTTCAAGTTGTAAAAGACTATGCATACTTAGGGCAGGTAATAACCGCGGAGCCGAACCACGAGATTGAAGTAACTAGAAGAATAAGAATTAGGTGGAGCACATTTGGCAAGCACTCTCAAATAATGACTGGTAGATTGCCACTATCCCTCAAGAGGAAGGTATATAACAGCTGTATCTTGCCGGCACTTAGCTACGGAGCAGAAACCTGGAGACTTACAAAGAGGGTTCAGCTTAAATTGAGGACGACGCAGCGAGCAATGGAAAGAAAAATGGTAGCTGTAGCCTTAAGAGACAAGAAGAGGGCAGAGTGGATTAGGGAACAAACAGGGATTAAAAATATAGTTGAAATCAAGAAGAGGAAATGGACATGGGCCGGGCATGTAGCGCGTAGACAAGCTAACCGCTGGTCATTAAGGGTAACTAACTGGATCCCCAGAGAAGGCAAGCGGGTTAGGGGGAGACAGAAGGTTAGGTGGGCAGGTGAGATTAAGAAGTTTGCGGGTATAAACTGGCAGCAGCAAGCACAGGACCGCGTTAACTGGCGGAAAATGGGAGAGGCCTTTGTCCTGCAGTGGACGTAGTCAGGCTGATGATGATGATGAGCAAAACTAAATACTCCCTAACAATGACAGGCTCAAAATGTGTTCTAAGAGCAGCATGGCTTTCAATCTAGTAAACGGCCATTGCAGGCTGTGCTTGTATGATTGCAAACGACCAACATGGTTGGCATCAGCTGCATTTATTAGCTCTTGATGACTTTGTGTCCTTGCTACCACAATTGAATGAGCCCTTTACACTAATTTCAGAGTTCACTAACTAGAAGAATCCCAGAGTGGAATTCTATGCCTCTGCAATAAGTAAAGAACCCTCGAATTCAGAAAGGAATGCAAAAAATTATGACAAATTAGTGATGTACCCAAAGTGCAGCAGCGGCAACAGGCAAACTTTCACACAACACATGGGCACTCGTAGTATGAAAACTCTTTTTCATCTAATACCCTTACTATAACAAAGAATGCAATACAATTTAGACCACCTTTTCCAGATGGGATATAAGTCCTACATTTCTGGGATCTTTTTGGGTATAGAACTTTCCGAAATCGTCATATTGAGCTCACTCGCATACATGTCTGTGGACTTTCTCATAACTTGATCAACAACAGTGGCCTTAACGTTAGCCAATACTACAAAGCCACAGTGGACGTGTTGTGCACTTTGAGCAGGTTTACTTGATTTAAAAACGTGAAATCGTTAGTTTTCTTGCACTGGACAGACTGGAAAAACCATGCTCACTGTAATGACAGCAGTTCATTTTATAATAACCAGAAAAAAACACTATGGCTAAAATTTTTGCATCAGCATGGCAAGTGTAAAAAAAAAAAGGAGAGATTAAGCAAACGCATTCAGCTTGAACATCTGCCAAATTAAGGCACTGTTCAAACAGACAGGTATACACTTGAATCGGGATTTCAATAGTTGTCACCGAGATCTTTGGTAAGCTATGCCTCAATGCTGAAGTCTGCGCATGCCTGAATACACAATTTTATTAAATGAGCAGCCTTGAGTAAACTTTCCCTTGACACCTGCCGTTTGCAGCAATTGCTAGATCAGCACACCCATTCCAATTTCTTATCGACTACAGTGTTGTGTTGCTAAAGGCAAGGTCATGACCTTTGATTTCTCTCACTTGTGACAATATTCCAATGGGAGCACAATGTGTAAACACACATGTATTTAGATATATGCCCACATTGGAGAACCCCAGGTGGTCAAAATTTGTAGAGTCCAATGCTACAGCACGCCTCATAATCACATGGTGGCAGTGGCACACAAAAACTGAAAAACGTTCGCACCAAAATATGCGATTCAAGGAGACTCACCAAAATGACCCTGTAGAGATCATTTCTCTGCCCTGGGCCTGCGACAACAGCTATTCACACTTCGGGACAATGGTCGCTCAGACACATTGATTCGATGTCCTTTTACATACATAGACTGAAGAGCTGAAATAGCCAAGGAGAAGATATTACTCTGATCGTCCCCAGAACCTCGTACAGCTACTCCGAAGTAACAGCAATGGCAAAAAGACTGGATATAGACTAACGCTCACCCTATATCAATTCATAGTAATGTGAAACTGAGCTTCCAATTGAAATTACCCGAGAAAAATTTGTTACTACTGTACACACACACACCTCCAATATGATACAGCATGAAAATAACAATTGGCAACTTTGTGTAAACACTTTGGCATGTTAGTGAAACAATGTAAGGAACCCAATAGAAGACTGGGACAAGGAAGGGAAATGCGCACACAGCTTTGACTTGCAACATTTTATTCATAGCATGGGGAGAAGGGTGCACTTACAGTAGACTCTCAGTAAACAACCCTCTTAAACGAAACTGCTGCTTAAATGGAACAACTGTCTCTAATAGGATTGGTTTTGTGCTTGAATTCTGTAATCTTGTTAGTGTCTTAGTAAATGGAACTCCTGTGAAACGAAACAGACTTTCCTGGGCCTTTCAGGTTTAGTTTACCAGGAGTCTACTATACATAAATATGTCACTAACATGTGCCACGATCACAAAAAAGTGAAGAATCATTTTAGCTAACTGCTGTGCTCAGTACAAGCAACACTGCACTCAGTAGTATGTCACTCAAAGCCACTTTTCTCATTTACCATTTTTTCTCCATTTCTCATGCAAAAGTATGAGACTGGTGCACACGAATATCAAACTCCCGGACAGCAGAACATCTACTATATTGAACACTGCTGTGTGCCAAAGCTTTGAAAATGCATTTTTCTTAGCAAATATGGAAAACTTTTCGGCCGCATTCTAACAAGTTCCGATCTTTTTTCACAAACAGGGGACGAAAAGGCGGTGTTCTTCGATTGCGTTGATCTGGTTCATTGCGCGGCACTTGCAAGTGCATCAGTACGTTTGTTGCGCCATCTGCAGTTTTTAAAGCACGGGAATAGTGTTTTTTTCAAGAAGACCGACTTACGAGGACACTAAAATGAGAATGCGATGAGACTCGGCGATCTCGTTGCTATTTTCGGATTCCCTTCCTTGTTTGTTTGCTTACAATGGCAGGTGGGCCTGAAAAAAATGGCCTTCGAGAAGTGCAACCTCGTGGCATATTTTGGGTGTTCTTGGTTTTAGGACGCACATATGGGAGGCTACGCTTTTTCTAGCTTTTCATTCCAATGCAGCTTAACCCAGCGACTGCACTACAAAGCTACAAGTGACATCGATATTGTCAACATGTTGACCTGACGCGGACAGTGGGAACTTGCTTGTGGGCAGCGTTGTGGACTTCTATATTTCTCGTCTCATTCCTGATGAATCCTTATTCGGGAGTTGAACTGAACATTGCGCGCTAGAAGCGAGAAAAATTATGACTGGTGCTTGGAGCGAAGTCAAGTAAAGCCCCATCGTTAACAGTTTTTTTGCGGGCTTTGGTGCCAGATGACGACTTTGGGTTTGTCATGACCGTTGAAAACGGTGTTCGATGCTTTAGCAATTTCTGCGACTTATTAGCGTTTTTGAACACTATCTCGAACAGCGACGACTTCATTGGTGCAGATGACAACATAGCTTGTTTTTGACTGCGTCGACGTCAAGATCATGGCTGCCGTTGCTGGTGTGATGGAAATGTAAACATTCAGTCACCGCTAACCAACCTTTCAAGCTTGCGTCGGCATTCTGTGTCAGTCAATGCTGTTGTGACTGAAGGAGCTCAATTCACTTATTGGAAAGCTTCAATGGTATTGAGGATGTAACTTGACGGCGAGCAAGAAGCACGATAAGTTTACAAACTATTTTCATGCGAAATAGAGAGCGGTAACTTGCAGAAGTTCATACCTTGTTATTTATTATACCATGAGCGAATCATAACAGCGCTTATTACGATTTCCTACAATTGTTTTGGGGCCTGAAATGCTATATTTATGCCTTAGATATGCATATTTTGTATTTTGATTTATCACACATTGAAATGTTTAGCAATCCCCTTTGAATTCGATATAATCTGGGATTGACTGTATATCAGATGAAATATGTATGTGGCATGACGATAGTTATAGCGCGAGAACAAAACGACGACACAGAGACAAGAAGGAGTTTTGTTCTCGCGCTAAAACTATCATCATGTCATACCAACTAGCCCAAGCTGCCACACTTCTAAGTATGTGGCATTGCAATAACTTCTGTGGAATCTCACAAAGTGGTGGAAGGGTCAAGAAAGGAAAGTGTTTGCAACCACCCACTTGTAGCTTAAAAGCACCAAGAAATCTATGTGCATTTGTCAGAAAGAAAACTTCTATTTAGCACAATTTTTCCTGCACAATGCTTCTGAATTGATAAAAAAATCATTCTGGTACAGGACTCATGTATAAGCATATGTATATAAGTCCATACTTTCCGTCATATGAATAAAGTGTTGCAAGTAAGCAGAAATATGGGCATCACCCTTCCTTGTCACTGTCTTCTATTGCGCTGTGTTCTTTCCAATTTAAATGGTAGAATATTTATCCTTCCAGCTTTTGGAATCTTCCGGCATTTCGCTTTAAAGAAAAACTTGACAATGGGCTAGTTGGTTAAACATGATTCAATGTTTCTTGCACAAATGTTACAAAAAAAAAACTAAAGACAGCGATGAAAGACGGACGTACTAAACACACTTAGCGTTGATCTGTTTTGCAAGTCTTTCGCTGCTGTCGTTTCTTTTTTGTAAAGCTTGCACAAGAAACGTTGATCGCCTCATTTTTAGCCTATATTTACCTAAACTTTGCTTAGTGTAATGACCTAACTGACCCTCTATAATCTGGCATCATGATGTCTCGAAGACATCCCAAGTAAATCATGTAAATTCAATAGCTACACATGATGATTGATTGATTGATATGTGGGGTTTAACGTCCCAAAACCACTATATGATTATGAGAGACGCCGTAGTGGAGGGCTCCGGAAATTTTGACCACCTGGGGTTCTTTAACGTGCACCCAAATCTGAGTACACGGGCCTACAACATTTCCGCCTCCATCAGAAATGCAGCTGCCGCAGCCGGGATTTGAACCCGCGCCCTGCGGGTCAGCAGCCGAGTACCTTAGCCACTAGACCACCGCGGCGGGGCTAGCTACACATGGTGGGCGTAGGTTAACTGCCAAATGACAATTACCTGCCAAATACCAATTAGATCTAGAAATATACACAATCATTTGTGTGGATATTTGTTTAGGTAGCCATGGCATGGAATTAAGTAGGTGTCAATGTCATATACTACACCAAGACTTGACTGCGTTTTGATCACTCAATTCTTCTCGAGCATCATTACCAAGAGACCCACAAATAGCAGACGACAATTGCTGCCTCAACAAAGGCAATCTAAATAGAAAAATTCATGCACTGCTTCTTAGTCACATGGTGGATGGACACGATTTCCCTTCAGTAACTTTAGCTAGAGCTTATAATGGATGAACCCTCTAGATTAAACACAGCTGCTCTTACTTGTCCTGCTGATATGTACAGACATCTTTGATGGGTATGCTACATTCTTCATCATTGTGATACGTATGGCACAATGAGTGGTACACTTACAGGCAGGATTGATGGGGGGCAGTTTGGATGTTGAAGACCCACTGCTTGTCCTGTCAGATCGGCTGGACAAAGAGGACATCTAAAGAAGAAATGAGAGGAAAGTTTCAACAAAAAAAAATACACGTTAGTCTGTGTTTTTCAGATATTGATATTGCTCGAAGCTCTGAGCTGCCATTGTTCGACAATGTTCTTGCCATAACGACTCCTCATAATAGATCACAGCAGAAGAAAAACACACACGCACAGTTTAGAAGTGCGTAGTACACAATACAACGACGCTGCACCACAGGCACAGGTGGTAAAATAGTTGGAGATGCTCATAAAGACAGGATTATCAACTATACATAGCACATTCGCACTTATGTTGGTGGTAGACATGATGCCTCCATGCATTTACAATGCTTTTTCGTGTAGGAATCACGCCCGAATTAATCAATAGTTGGCAGACTGGTATGACCAAAAGCTGCTGTGCGAGGTTAGCCACATAGGGTTCAGTGGCACAGTTGACTTTCACACAAAGAAAATATGTAGAACAGTGGTGCGTAGCATTATGATTGCCCAACAGTGTTTTTTGCCACCACTTTCAGTGCTTAGCCAAATGGAAATTACATTGATGTCTTTATAGTTAGTCGGCCAGTCTATGAAAGAAAACTCAGGCTATTTGCGGTACAGCAAGCCACAGGGCAAGTTTAGGAGAAGAGTTAAAACGTTACTGACACGAAAATTTTTGGTTGTTTTATTTTCTCAAATGAAAGGCTATGCCTTCAAGAGCATAGAAAGTTACTGCTAAGTGTGAGTGTACCCTGAAAAAGCAAGTATGGTGTGTTTTTCAAAGCTAGTTTCAGTTCCTACTGTACCCCGGCGTAACAAAACAGTACGAGATTCTCGCCACGTGCTCGCACAAGATATTGTGACGTTCCCATGGCCACTCTGCACTGTGGCTCCATTGGTGATACACAAGTGGCCATTTTGAATAAGTTGGTAATGCACAAGCAGCCATTTTTGAAGGTTTGGTGCCTTACATCATCACAACTAGCCATACTGCTGCATGAAGTCACCAGAATTCATACTGTACCCTGACATCAAGCTAATGTCAATGTTGGTAGTATGCCACAGGAAAATTGAGTTTAGTACCAAAATAAAATATCTTGCCAGCATTTGCTGAGCCTCGTGTTTGCTCAGAGCAGCCTCTGTATACAGGATATTTGTAAGGTGATGTAAACACACCTCAGAAAAAAGGTGTCACTACCCCTTCAACTTTGATTGATATGAGGGGTTTAACGTCCCAAAACCACCATATGATAATGAAAGACGCCGTAGTGGAGGGCTCTGGAAATTTCGACCGACTGGGGCTTTAACCTGTACCCAAGTCTGAGTACATGGGCTTAC